GAGCGTTTTGACCCAGCCAAGCTGGTGTAAAGGCAAGGCCTTTTAAAACACACAGTCAGGGGCACCTGGGTGGCTCAGTGGGTTAAAGCCTCTGCCTTCGGCTCAGGTCATGATCTCAGGGTCCTGGGATCGAGCCCCGCATCGGGCTCTCTGCTCAGCGGGGAGCCTGCTTCCTCCTCTCACTCTGCCTGCCTCTCTGCCTGCTTGTGACCTTTAACTGTCAAATAAATAAAATCTTAAAAAAAAAAAAGTAAGTAAAACACACAGTCATTCGGCAACCATTAAGATGAAACTTAGTGGCCTTCACAATGTGCCAGTCACTCCCAGACACCACACCTCGTCCCTTTGAACCTTGCAGTGACCCTGGGAGAGGGTCTGATCAGGTGAGAAAGGAGGGTGGGAGGTGCTCTGCTGGGGGTGGGGTCACCCAGCTAGAAGGTCAAGCCACTGGCCCTTTGCTAAGAACGGAGAGTGAGCACATGGACGGACGAGTGGGCACAGGGGATGAAGCAGACAGCCTGCTACGAAGGGCTGTGTGTGCTCTCGTGCGCGCGGATCGACTCTGCCTACAGACAGGGACCCTTGGGCGGGGGGCTCTGCGGTGACTCAGGGGGTGGGAGACACCTCCCTGGGACTAGGCACTGTGAAGGGCAAATCCTGGGGCTTAGTCCCCGAGGGAAGACTGGCTGGGGGTGCTGGCACCGGCGATGGGCGGACGGGCAGCCTAGCCCCTGGGAGAACACTGCTTGCTTGTCCGCATTTGCCCCAGCCTGACCGCCCCTCTGTGTGTGCCCTGGGACTGGGGGGTCAGGCAAGGCTGCCATCAGACTGGGTGTCTGAGCGGGGCCTTAGGCCTGGTAAGGACTGGGGATGGGGGGTCAGGAATGAGGTGCGTGGGGCTGGGTGGCCCTCCTGGGGACCCCTGGAGCTGGGTTTTTCTAGCCAGAAACCCCTCTGGGAAGAGCGGCAGGGAGCCGATCTCCCGGCGATGAGCAAGGTCTTACGATCACATTACCTCGATACAGACAGATGTGGGGATACGACCTCGTGCTTCTGAGCCTCGAGAACTACCAAATGGCAGTAAAAGGGTCAATCCGGGAGAGAAGAGTCCACAAGACACGCAGGGTTTAGATTAACATCGCAATGAAACGAGAGTTAGTGTAATACGAGGTAGGCTTTTTGGTGGTAAAATGTACGTCACAGCGCACCCTTACAGCCACTTTTGCGGGCCACTGAGTACATCCACACCGTCTGCACCGACGGGCGGTTTGGGGGATCAGGAGGCCTCGTGCCTACCCAGCGCCTCGGGTGACTCAGAGGGCCGGGCTGTTTTTCTCTTCAAGCCGTACCACGAACGCTCCATCCGCAGGCGGACGGAGCCCCGGCTCAGGGAGGGCCTTTCAGGCGCTGAATCCGTCTCTGTTCCTGGGTGACAACGCAGCGAGCATTACACACGTGACTCCTGCCGTCTGTCACTCAGTCGGGGACTTAAGACACAAGGCTTCTTTGATGAAAGGGGACCTCCGCGGCCAGTGTTCCCTGCAGAAGGGAAGTCCCGTCTCTATCAGCACACGTCGGGTGACTGGCCGTCTTCACGTGAGCACACGCCGCTCCCGGTCTGCTTGCCCGCGGGGCCCAAACACAACACACCACGTCACGTGGCTAGAAAGCCGTGGGCAAGGTGACTCAGTCGGTATCACGGAAATACAAACACAAAACCGAAACGGACGCGGAGAGCTGGCGGCTGAGGGGAGTCAGGGGCTGTCGTCAGATCCTGCTCGCGTCTGGGGGCTGCCGGAGGGAGGGTGGGGTCCTTGAGAGAAGGGATGGGGCTCCGTGGGGGAGGGGCAGGAGAGGATGTGGGTGGGTGGGTGGGAAGGAGTGGCTGTTCGGTGTGGGAGGAAGCCCCCCGGGGAGGGGGCTCAGTCTGCACCTTTGGCAACTGGGCGGATCGTGGTGCCAAGCACAGAACCGATGTGTGTACCCCGGGCAGAATAATGCCGGACCGCCATGGCGCCCACGGCCTGATCCCTGGATCGGTGAACGGGCACGTACAAGGCAAAAGGTTTGGTCCCTTGGCAGCGGACAGTCAGGGTTTGGGGCTTCAGGGAACCATGTGGCCGCCCTGGCTACCTGGCGCGTGAGGCTGAGGGCCTGGCTTCCTTGGGTGCGAGTGGGGAGAGGGTTCTAGAAGTGCAGGGACAGGGAGTGGGTCTGAGATGCGGTGGCCAGAGGAAGAACCGGCAGGAGAAAATGTCATGCAATCATCAAGACAAACATCAAATGCCCCAGAGGAGATGGGATGGGGGAGGGCCTGCCTCGAGCCTGCCCCACTGCAAGTGTCTGGAAGGGCCTGGCAGAGCTGTGTGTGCACATGTCCAGAGCCCAGCAGGGCTGGCTGGGGTGAGAGGGCAGAGGGGGGAGGGTGTGAAGCTGGGAAATCTGGGGGGCCCCGAAACCAGGGAGCTGGCTCTCTGTTCCAGGAAGCACTTGGCCAAACCCCCCTTCGTTGGCCTGAAAGCATGCACAACTGGGCCTTTGCCCCCGTCTTTCTCGGGAAAAGAAGAACTAAGGCAAAATGTGCCTCTAACATGAACTTTCAAGTAAACCACGGGACTCGTGTGCAACCTTTATTGGAAGCACACATTTCACAGAAAAGTCTTACAAAAAAATCTAAATGGAACGTGAACTGTTTTTCGTGAAGTTGCCATGGGAGATTCCTCTAGAAAATGTAGCCACTCCCCGATCCAGGGCAGGGCGTCACTGCTCCCGTCGCAAAGGTCCTAGTTCTGCTCAGGTATCAGTCAGGTCCGTCCCAGAACACCTGCTCCCTTGGAGCCGTGGTTCAGCTCAACGGTGGAGAAAACGCTCAGACGTGAGGGTGACAAGCAACATCTCAGGACCAGCGGCCCCGGGCTGGCCCCACTGTAGTGAGAGCCCGAGGGACAGAAGCTCCGGGGCTCTGGGCAGAATGTCACTGCTTATTCCGAGGTGCCTGAGGAGCAAAGCTGCCACAGACTGGGGCAAGCACCTGAGATTTACCGAAATGTCCCTTTTTAGGGGGATGAAGCTACGAGGGGCAGAGTCGGGGGGGACCCCATGCTCTGTGCCTCGCTGGGGGCACTCCCATGCAACTGTATCTAGGGAACAATGAAAACACATTATAGAAAACGTAGAAAACACAGAAAGTATAAATATCTTTAAAAAAAAACATCATTTGGGGCACCTGGGTGGCTCAGTGGGTTAAGCCTCTGCCTTCAGCTCAGGTCATGATCCCAGGGTCCTGGGATCGAGCCCCGCATCAGGCTCTCTGCTCAGCGGGGACCCTGCTTCCTCTGCTCTCTGCCTGCCTCTCCACCTACTTGTGATCTCCGTCTGTCAAATAAATAAATAAAATCTTTAAAATAAAACAAAACAAAACCATCATTCTCCAACCCTTGCCGTGCATCTTTCCATTTCCAGGGTCCATGTAAGTGTTTGCGTTTTTACTGCATGCTTGTGTTGACTTCCGTCACACCTCTTTTGCTTCACGAAGCAGGGAAACCGTGTGCTTCCCAAGGGCAGGCTGCGTGTCCCGCTGTTGTGGCTCCAAGCCCGGTGCGGTGCCGGCGAGGGTAGAAGCCTCCGGCCCACGGATGTGCGAACTGGCGGAACAGACCGGCGCCTCCCTCTGGCTCTGAGCCAGCATCTCTGGGGACAGCTGCTTGTGCAGGCGCACCCGCATCACCAGGCTCTAAGGCCCCGCCCTCGTGCGGGGCGGTGGAGGGGGCCACCTCCAGGCCCCCGCAAGCGGGCGGCGCGCAGAGCCTAGCCACACAGGGTGGAGACACTCCTCGCCCGTCATCTATTCCAGGTCTCGAACTCAGATCCTGGCCTCGCGATCCTCGTGGCTGCTCCAGGACCCTGCTCCTTCTCCCTCACCATGTGGCCAGGAGCTGCTCTCTGTGGAGGTCAGGGATGTGAGTGCCGGGGGTGGGGGGTACCCGGTGCCTTCACAACCGTGGGACTGAGAGGCGGGCCACAGGAACAAGCTGGTGGCAGAGCTGGGGACCAGGCCCTGTCCACTCGCTGCCCGTAGGTGCAGAAATCACAGGTCACTGGAGCCTCTATCACAACACGTGGTGTGATGGATGGCTGGGGGGTCTTGCCGGGTGTGAGGGGCACATGGGGGGATGCAGGGCGCAGGTCAGAGTGCTCGGCATTCACCCTTTCCATAGCTTATCTCATAAGCCAGGAGGGAACGGGAGAACTGCTGAACTCTGCCTGTGTTCCAGAAACACAGACATAGTTTTCGGCAAACCTACTTCCCAAAGCGGCCCATCAGCCAAGCTCCTGACATCTACCGACGGTGCTGTCATGTTTACTACCCACTAGCTCGGCCCTGGGGCCTGCAAAGCAGGTGCGATGGCTGGCTGGGCGCGGGGGCTAAGGACACAGACAGCACATGACACAGGGCCAGGCCGTGCCAGTGCGGGCCTGACACGGGCTCAGTGCCTCAACAGCACCCTGAGCTTATGCTCTGCTTAATGCCTGGATTTCTGGTCCGGAGCTTGAGGTCCACAGAGTAGGGCCACGGCTCTCTCCTTTCCTGCGGTGGCCCAGCCCTCACCCTGCCTGGCATCAGTATGGACTTGCTGAAGGCATGCAGGGACTCCAAGGCTGGTCTGTAGCTTAGCAGGACAATGCGGCCAGGACCTCATGTGGGGCTCTCCCAAGATCACAGCCGAAGGCCTGAACAAGGCACGGCCACGCGGCTCTGATGCCGCTCAGTGGCAGGTGGGCCCAAAGCTGGTGGAAGGTGGCCTCTAGCTGAGCAGTCTGCTGGGCACGAACGCTCCCCTGTTCAGTGGCTCCCGGAGCTGTTAGGAGTCTGGCCACCCTGCTCACGTTCAGCCTAAGAGAAGCGGCCCAGGGTACTGAAATCGACCACAACGGGACTTTTGAGAATATGAGAGATGAAGTAATCCTCAAAAGGAATGTAAAATTCTGGGTCATGGAGCTTTCCACTGTAAAAGAATAAGCTTTAATAGGATTACCATAAAAGCAGAAAGACCACTTTTTAAGATTACAGGATCCTGTTATCAGAATAGTGATTTTGATACAAAACAGTAAACTGTGGCATCACAGAAGTCATAGTATTTCTGAGAACTCCCGCTGGTGAAGCACCGAGGGCATCCACCGCCCGAACACTGGACGATCCTATCGCAGGCCGTTCTCACGAGTATTACTATCCTCCCCCCCCCCCCCGCCCCCGGACACCCTCAAGGGCCATTACCCCACCAGGGACCTCCACACCGCCTGCCCTGGTGTATGGGTCTAGCCAATGGCCTCAAAGCCTGTGGCCAACTGTGGCAGCAACAGAGTGACCCAGTGGTCACCGTGTGGGCTCTGGAGCCCGACAGCCTTGGTTCCACCCCCGGCTCTCCCACTGCTACGGACTTTGTCTAGCCACGGACTGCACACGGTCCCCACCTGCTGAGTAACAGCACTGAGCACCACTGACGTTGACGTTCCTTCTACCTGCTGGGCATGGATCCAAAACTTCCTCGAACAGGGCTCATCTCATGGGACAACAGACCCTCCCTCTCAAGGGCGATCCTGAGGCACGAATGAAAGCATCTGCACGGCGGCTGAACCCCCCGGGCACCACTCCGTGAAGCCAGCTGTGGCTCGAGCGCCGGGGTCCCTTGTCCTGGTGCCCTGCTAGGTCATCATAGCACAGGCGCGTGGAAGGCACTTGGTCAACTTTGGTGGTGGGGGGGGGACCCAAGTTCGGGCTGCGTGGATGCCCTCGGGCCCCTGGAGAAGAGCAGCTGGGTCACCAGGGGCCCCCCAAGGCAGGCCCATTCAAATCCCAGGACGTCAGAGACTCGGCGGGGCTCTTGTCCCCACCTCCACTGCTCGCAGTCTCGCTCTCATTCTCCCGGGCCTGCTGATCCTCCAGGACGAGGTCGGCCACCAGGTTCAGCTGGCAGGCCCTAAGCGCCCTCACCAGGTGGGACACTGTCGCGTCCTCCCTCTCGGCGCTCTTCCAGACTCTCAGCGACTCCCTCACCTGCTCGGTCAGGTTGCGGGGATACTTCTCCTCGATGGCATCGATCTTGGCGTCTGTCACTTTAAGGTGCCGGGCCAGTCTTCTCCAGTCCCTCCCCACGTTATCACAGACGATGTCAAATGCTGCACGCAGGTCTGGGGGAAGAAGAGAATGATTTACCAGAGGTTTGGGGGACACGTTTGGGGACGAGTAACCCCATATTCCAAAGCGCTTCTCGGTGCTGCCCAAGTACTGGGGACACGAGAGGTCCTCCTGCAGAGGCTGGGGTCACGCAGTAGGGGGCCAGGGGGAGGTCAGAGAAAGCCTGAGGGGGGCCTCCGGTCCTGCCACCAGCCCACTCCATTGGCCAAAGAATGTCCCCAGCCGCCACATTCTGGAAGAGGTGGAAGGATGCTGTCCTGCAGCCTCCAGAGAAAGCCCGGCTCTGCTGACAACTTGACCTTTGACTTCTGTTTCCCGAACTGCGAAGGAATCAGTTCCATGTCACTTCAAGGTCCCGAGTTGTGGTCCTTTGTACGGCAGCCCTGGAGCACGAAAACACCCCAATTCTTATTTTGGAAGCTGCCTGGACTGACCACCAGTCTTTGGTCCCTGGCTACCGTGTCCTCATGGGTGGAAAGGTCATGACTGAGACCAGCAGGTGGGGCACTACCGACCCTCACAGGTAGTTTCTGGAATGGCGGTAGCGAGCAGAGAGGAAGGGCAAAACGCTGCTCAGAGGGCCCCAGCAAATGTGTCTTCAGCTACACACCCCCAAGGTGCTGTCAGCCTGTGTGCCGACTCCTCCGTCCCCTGCAGGTGGGCAAGCGGGCACTTGTGTTACTGTGACCAATGGTACAGAGAGGGAAACTGAGGCACAGGGAAGAGGAGTATTTTCCTGATGCCATGCAGCTAGACAACGGCACAGCTAGAAGGGGAAACCCTACGAGCCCGGTGCCAATGCACCCGACCAGGACGCTACCCCGTCTTCTGAGCGAGAGTAATACAGGATGGGCCCTCATCAACCCACCCCTACCTGGTAATCTCCGGTGTGCTCTCTTGCAACACACAAGATGTACACGCATAGACGGACGGATCTGTGGTGTGTGCACGGGCTTCTAAATGTATCATGTCCCCAATCTCCCCCCTGCTCAATGTCCTTAAAAACGTAGCTCTTCTACGTCCTGTCCTGTTTGCACGGCCTGGTGCGCATGTGTATGCTTACACAGGGGTGTGTGTGAGTGTGTCTGGACAGGAAGTCTGAATCCGACTGATCCCAGGCAGAGCAGTCCCGTCCCCATCTGCAGCAGTAAGCACGAGTCTTTATGGAGCAACACCCGTGCTGCTATGGGTCTACCCTTTCTGACCTGGTGACCTTCTGACCGAAGGGCTGATGCCAGGCAAGAGCTTCGAGCCTATGAGAGGTGTCCCCAGAGCACTCCCCAGCACCCCTCCCAGGGCTCTGAGAACACAGGGGTGTGGCTGAGACGCCCTGCTCTACCCAGGTCTCATTTTCACTCCAGGAGGACTGTGCAAGCCCCAGAGGAGGGAAGGAAGAGGGGATGCCTGCGCACAGAGTAGGAAGCCACGCTGAAGGGCCTTGGTCAGAGAGGGGTAGGGCTAATCCCGCCCGCCCGCCAAGGCTGCCTCAGTTGGTCCCAGCCAGCAACGGGCCGGGCATCTCGGGCTCCTCACTGCACCTCCCAGCCCCGGTCCTCCGGCCTGTAAGACACGAAGAGGGATCGAGCGCGGAACCCGAGCACAGGGCTATCCCGAGGACTAAGCCGCTGGGCGAGAGCCATTCCCTGTTCTCCGCGTCAAGGACGCCAGTGGGGCGCTCCCAGAGGCGGAAGGAAAACGAAAGCAGCGGCGGCGCACCTAGCTCCCCCACCCAGGGGCGGTGCGCGACGCCCTCTCCTTCGGAGCGCTCTCGTTCGCCGCAGGCAGGGGGGACGGAGCGGCGGCGAGCTGGGTGTGTGCGTGTCCACGTCTTCCACCCCTTAACTTCCAGGCGCTCGGGCTCCCCATCAGCAAAGCGGGCGGCTGACCGGCCTCCCGCTAGCGTCGGGAGAAAATCCGCGCAATCGAACGCGGGGAAGGGGAACCCCGGAGGACCGGCCGAGCTACCGCGGGGCGCACGGGCCGGGCCAGGCCCCCAGCTTCCCCGGCCCCGCCCCGCCCCGCCCCCGCCCCCGGCGCCGCGCGCCCACCTCGCTCCTCCGGCGGGGCCCTGCCCGCCGCGCCCGCCTCGAAGCCGTCCAGGCGCTGCAGCAGGTCCTGGCGCCGCAGCGACACAAGCAGCTCGCGCAGCAGCTCCGTGTGCTCGGCGTCCAGCTCGTTCTGCTCGAGCAGCACCGCGAACAGGTCCAGGCCGCAGCGCACGCTCTCCAGCTTCCGCTTGCCCACGCGGCCCCGGCACAGGAACTTGAGCTCGGTCAGCTCGTCGTCCGACAGGCCGGTGGACACCGAGTGCAGTAGCACCAGGAACGGGTCCATGGCGGCGGCCGCCCGAGCCCCGCTCCGCCCCACCCGCCTCCCCGCTGCCGGGTCTCCGCGTCACTCAGCTCGCGCCGCCGGAAGTCCGCGCCCACGCCCACTCTCCCGCGGTCTCGCGAGAACTCCAGGACATGCGCATGCGGCCCTGGCCCTGCTGTAGCCGTTTCCGCCCGGGAGGTGCCCCGCGGCCGCCAGGGGACGTTCCCGGAGAGCTTGCGGCTCCAGGCTGTAGGGCTTCCGCGCCTGCGCCCTGCAGACCGTCTACCGCCCAGTGCGGTACTGTGGCCCCCGGAGTCCGGGACCCAGGAGTGAGCCGAGAGGGGGGACCTGCGTTCCCTGGACAGTGTTGCACCGCGGGTGCGGAGAATAAATGCATTTATTGTTAACATTGCTGAGAGTGCCTCTCTCGGTGCGGAAAAGGCTGGTCCGAGGTTTATCGGACTTTTGAGGTTTAATTTCATTAATATTTCATTTCTCAAGCGATAGTCATTTATGCGTTCGCATGCCTTTAGTATTCATTGAGCGCCTGCTGTGTGCCAGGCAATAAGTGCTGGGAACACATTTGGGAGCAAAGAGCGGAACTGTCCACCGGCGGGGAGTTACGTCATCAGCACCCGAGCTTACGTAATACAGATAAGAAAGTCGTGTCGTCTGCACGAAGTTAGGAAGAGCCAGGGCACAGAGGATGAGGGGATGGGCGGTGCGGAGGCGGGGGCACGAACAGAGCGGGCAGTCCGAGCAGGCTTCACTGCGCAGGTGCAGGTGCGGGGACCAGGTGCTGGACCAGGTGCAGGGGCCGGTGGCCAGGTGTGTGGGTGTTGGGGGGAAGGGTGCGGGCGGAGGCACAGCCACAGCAGCAGCACGTAAAAGCGGAGGTTCCGGGGACAGCTGGGGGGCCGAAGTGTCTGGAGTCTCTGGGGTTGCCAGAGAGGAGAGGGGAGGGGTGGACTAGGAGGGAGCCTCCTGGGCCAGGTGCGCAACCGGCTTTACGGCCCCTGAGCGGAGCCCCTGCAGAGTGTGAGCAGAGGAGGGAAGCCAGCCGAGTTTGCTTAAAAAAAAAAAAAAATTATATATATGTTTAATTGAGACAATTCATGACCTATGTAACTTACCCGTTTAAAGTGTGCATTTCAGTGGGTTTTGGTATATTCATAAGGTTGTGCAAGCTTCACAGGTGATTTTAGAACGTTTTCATCACACGGAGTAGAAACCTGCTGCCTATTAGCAATTACTTCCTTCCCCTCCGCCTCTTCCGCTCAGTCCCTGACAACCACTACCCTATCTTCTGCCTCTCTGGATTGGACTATTCTGGACACTTCCTAGAAATGGGACCATGCACTGTGTGGCCTTTCCTGCCTGGTTTCTTTCTCAGGGCAGAATGTTTTCAAAGTTCACCTATGTTGTAGCATGTGCGGGTGTTCCGTTCTTTTTTAACGAGTCAGCAGCAGTCCACTGTCGGGAGAGACCCCATCTGAATATATCCAGTCATCGGCTGATGGACATTTCAATTGTTTCACTGCTCAAAACCAAAATTCAAGTGAGTAAATTTGACGATCTTATTGGCTTTATTCAATAACTCATGAACCAGACAGCATCCCGTGTTGCAAAGAGAAAGCTCTGGGGAGCTGAGTGTACAAAACAGAAGGTTTTTATAGGCAGAAGGGGAAGAAAAGGAGGTTTTCTAAGGAAGAGTGGATTGTTCTGGCAAGGTCTATCCTGCAGATCCCCTCACTAGTGCCTGGCAGGGAACCCCAGATTGTCTGGTTTGAGGTTACATTCCTAGGAGAGGGTAGGTCGACGTGGCAGAAGAATCTTGGTTTGTTGTGGTGGGGGGAAAAGTGATGCAATTCTGGGCCCCTTGTTCCTTTTTTAACAGCGCCTTTTGGCTATTATGAATAATGCTGCTATGAACTTGGTGTTCCATTTTTAGAGGGTAACTCTGCCACTGTGTAGAGGCTAAATAACCCTGATGAGAGATGAGGGTATTTGGACTGAGAGCAGGGGTGGGGATGAGAAGGGGGCAGACTTCTTTTGATTTGGAGGTGTACGTAATGCAGGGGGGCCGAGGACCCTTGCAAAGTTTGAGGGTGCCAAGAATGCAGGAAGTCCCCTGACTGACCCAGGTGGGTGGGTGGGTGGGGGGGGTCAGGGAGGACCTGGTAGAGATGTTGATTGCACAGTGGCATGCAGAAGACAAGGTTTTTTTTTTTTTTTTAAAGATTTTATTTATTTATTTGACAGAAATCACAAGTAGAGAGGCAGCAGAGAGACAGGGGGAAGCAGGCTCCCTGCTGAGCAGAGAGCCTGATGCAGGGCTCGATCCCAGGACCCTGAGATCGTGACCTGAGCTGAAGGCAGAGGCTTAACCAATTGAGCCACCCAGGCGCCCCAAGACAAGGGTTTAGAACAGAGACCTGGGCAGGAGATGTGAACTGGGGAGTATTCAGCAGATAGATGGTGTGTGCGGTGGTTAATTTTAGGTGTCAGCTTGATGAGAGTTTGTGAATTGATGCTCTGAGCGAAGCAGATGGTCCTCCCCAGTGGGAGGTACCACTGGTGGGCACAGGTGGGCATCATCCAATCCATTAAGCATCCAAATAGAACAAAATGGCGGAGGAAGGGAGAATTTGCCCTCTCTGCTTGAGCACCATCCCCCCACCCCATTTTCAGGCATTCACACTCAGACTGAACTACACCCTTGGCTTTCGTAGGTCCCCAGCTTGGACATCGTGGGACTTCTTGGCCTCCGTGACCACTAGAGCCAATGCCTGGGATAAATCTTCTCTTGTATAGATCTCTCTATCCTATTGGTCTGTTTCTCTGGAGAGTTCTCACTAGTATAGTACTTAGAGCACTTGTAAGGTGAGGTCACCTCTGTGGAGGGAGCAGACAGAAAAGAGGGTCAAGGGCTGAGCCCTGGGGTGTCCAGCTGTGTAGGAGAATTGGAGAAGCCTACGAAGGAGGCTGAGAAGCAGCCCCTCCAGGCAGGAGGTCAATCAAGAAGCCTCAGACCACACCCCTGCTGACGAACCCTGTTTCTTTGTCCCTTAGCACATTTCTTGTCTCCTGATTTACCATGTACTTGGCTTCCTGCTCTGCATTTTTCACCCATCTCTCCTGCCAGAATGTGACACTTGGAGGCAGGGACTCCGAGCCCCCAGAACACCCAATGGAGCTTAATAGGTGCTCAGACAACGTTTCTGAATGAACGAATCTTACATAAGGTATTGTTAGTTGCATCTCCATTGGCACGGCTATACCCATGTCTGACCCACTGCCTTACTGTCTGAGGTCAGTCTGTTTTCTTTCTTTCTTTCTTTCTTTCT